CTGCTCACAGAATACCTGACTTTCCTGTCCCCCCAGCAGACCTGGGGGACACATGCCATGGAGCAGAGGCCAATTTTGCTGTTCCTTAGAGAGCTGATTGCTTTTACCCCAGTGGCCATTGAAACGTTCCTTTCTTTCCTTTTTTTTTTTTTTTTTTTTTTAACGTCCCCTTCATTCCTTCTCCTTTTAGCCTAGATGGAGTGGAGGAGAAATGCCTATTTCTCAGGGGAGCTATGGGTCTTTAGGTCCAGAGATTACTGCCAGGAGAAACCTGAGGCTGTGAGCAGGGTACCAGTCCTGCATCCCATAGGGATGTGGTTAGCTGTCCCAGGGAAGCACGGGCTCCTTTCTGGTTACTTTGCTAGATGCCTGCACCCTGGAAAGGTGCTGGCAGATTTATGACTAGCTCAGAAAAGGACCAAATTTATGACCAGATCTAGAAAAATTTGCCAGTACTGGGAGAGACTAAGATGTCACCTGCTTAGGCTGTGTGCAAGGGGATGAGGAGGTAAAAATGCTTAGATGAGATTTGGGGAGTGGGAACAGCTTTTATACATACAAAAAAGGCCTCTGGAGAGCTAGTGACTTGAAATGCACATGACAAAAGATGGCCAAAAGATTACTACAGGAGAGTGTCCCACCGAGACAAGGAGAGAGGGGGGCTCTGCTGGGTAAATGACATCAGGACTGCTTTGAAAAGGCCACCCCAATGCCTTACCTTCAACCCTGGCTATGTTTGTGCAAAATTACCCAGATCCATCTGTGTTCAGTGCCCTGTGGGTCTGAGTGGCCCCTCCTGGCCTTGAGGACTGAAATAAGCATGCTCCTGCTCTGTGAAATGCATCCTCTAGACATGTCACCTCCAGGTGACCAAGAGGGGCAACTTTGAGTAGGCAGCTCCCAGCAGGGAAAGAAGCCTCTTGCACATCCCCATGGCCAAGAGATTTGCCTGCTCTCCAGGGGGAGAGGGTTCGTTCTTGTCCAAAAGCTTCATGACTGTTCTGTCTGTGCTGGCTATCCCTGTCCTGGAAAATTTGCTGCAGCAATATCCTGAGAAGGGGCTGCTCGTCCACTTGCTTCTGTGGCAGAAGGATGCATCCCAGAGGCTCTTGCCTGCTGCAGGGTGGCATGGAGGGGACAAGCAACTGTTCATGCCTCAGTTTTCCTCCTGGATGCAGTGTCACTCTGTGGCTTGGTGGCTTTTTGTGCTCAGGACCAGAGGTTGTTAATTAAAACTGCAAAGTGGGGGAAGAAGCAGGGACGGAGCACAGACAGCTCTAAAAGGCTGTGCTGGGCTGCCCTGCAATTACTGTGATGCACTCTTGAAAAGAGCCAGGAGTGGATGCAGTTGGTTATTAGGGCTGTGCCGCTCAAGCTTCAAAACTGCTGTTTGTCTTCACTTTCGGCCTCTTAATCCTCCTGGAAATGCTGCAGACCGGTGCTTTCTCAACTTCTGTGTGCCAGCCTTAACCCCCTTGTGGAGGGACCCAAATACCAGGAGGGACAACCTCCCCACTGACTGGTTCATTGGGAGGGATGGGTCTACATCAGGGAGCAGGAGCAATTTTAGCCTAACCCAGAGACAGTCTGGCCATAGAGATGGCTGGGATGTGGCTGACAGATCATGGCGAGGAGCAGGTTTTGCTGTGCTGCTGGTCATCCCCCTTGCTACCTCCCCAGGCAGGGTTAATATAATAAAATACTTGATAAGGGGAATAGGTTGAAGGATCATGCTCCCATGCGCAGTTCACCCTCTTTAAAGCAGTGAGGGAGCAGAAGTTGAAGAGGGGTTGTCACCTCCTGGTCATTTGGTTTATCAGAAAATTGAAAAAGACAATGGATCATTCTGAATGGATCATCACATTAGATGTGTGGGGCCTCAGAGGTGGGGTGTAGCAAGAAATGCAGATCCAAGGGAAAGAAGTGATGTGCAGTCAGTCCCTGAGAGCTACCAACTCTTCTCAAAGAGGTGACAGAAGGTAGAAGGGGAGCAGCTGTTGAGGCCCCAGTTATGTGGGATGCTCGAGCAGGCTGATGCAAGTGATGGAGGCAAAGGGAGAAGGACCCCCATGTCTGGTGGTTCTGGTGTCCCAGGAAAACTGGTGCTGGGAGAGCTGGACTGTAGGTCTTAAGTGGGACAGAGAGGTCTGTCACCACCTAGAAGTCAGGATCTGACAACCTGGGGAGGGATGGGTAAAGCCGTGGTTCAGCTCTGAGTGAACCAAGCTCTGTCTGCTCCTTGCTCACCATCCTTACTATGTGCCTGCTGTCTTCAGCTAGGAAAGGAGACTTTAGGGAAACAGATGTCGAAGCAGCATCTCCATTGCTTTGCTCCAACCCAAGAAACCTCCAAACATCTCACTCCTGGGAGTGCAGGACAAATGAGCCATGGGGGTCCCTGCAGGGACAAGGACAGCAGTGCAGAGCTCAGGGGGCTCCCCAGGGGCTGCCCTGCAGCAAAACTCGGGTGGGAATGAGGTATGAAACAGGGGTGGGAGGCATTGTGGCTGCATGCAGGCAACTGCCCCAAGGATGGAGAGATGGCTGTGTAACTGCACAGAGCTTGGGGAACAGCTGGGACTGCGCTGGGAGCTGGCTCATCAGGGTGGGTGTTACCATCCTCATCAGGGTGGCCAGAAAACAGAGGGGACAGCTGAGGGATGGAAGGGAGAGAGATTTCCAGGAATGTTTCTTTCCCTGTTGCAATCCCTGAAGTGGGTTTGTGTTCAGGCTCCTTGTGCCTCAGCAGTACAGCACAACCTGTCTCTGCACTGGCACAGATCTGTCCCCTGCCTCAGGCATTCCCCAGGGAAAACAGACTGTGCACTGTCTGGAGGCAGGGACAGAAATTCATGCCTTATTAGCTCCTGATTCTGGCTTTGCCACACAGGGACTGTGACCTGCAACGTGCCACTTCCCTGGCACTGTCACCCGTCCTGGCATCTGCCGAGCCAGTCCTGCTGAGTCCCTGCCAGCATCATCTGGCTGCTGTCCCTGTGTTCTGTCCCAGCTGTCACCAGCACTGTGCCATAAACCCCTGTTTGACTGTGTCTCCATTTCCCTAAAGGGGGTGAAGTTTCATTTCCTTCATTGCTTCCATAGGAGCAGGCAGCAACTCTTCTCCCTCTCCCTCACCATTTCAGACACTATTTCCAGCTTGTTGATTTCTTCCCTTGAGTAATGTCTTGTTTACACTCATTTACCCTCCAGCCCTTTGGCTTCAGCAATTCCTTTCCTCTGGGGAAAAAGATGATTTTCCGAGGAAAGTCATGTCTCAGGGCAGCCCCAGACAATTCCAGCCCTCAGTGTGTTTGCTCTGCCAGGTCCCTCTGCTTGATGCCTGTTTGCTGCTGTGAGCAGAGGTAGGGCCAGCTTAAGGCTACCAAGCCAGACCAGGGCTTTGATGGTCTTGCCCTGTCATCCCTCACCTGCTCTGAAATTTCTTTGACCAAAAGCATCGAGGGGTGAGTGGTGCTGCTCCCATCTGCTGTGCACTCTGGCATCAGGAGGAGGATTTGGGAGTGCAGCACCCCAGGGGCAGTGTCCTGATGCTGGAGGCCACAGGATCCAGGTAGCTCCTCACATCCTGGCTGCAGGCGCCAGGCTCAGCAGTGCAGTGAGCTGTGCTGGGGCTCAGCCTGAGTGGGAGTGGGGAGCAAAGGTCTCTCCTGGTAAGTCTCTCCACACTCCCTCTCCAAGATCCCTACACTGCCTGCTCGAATCCAGCCCCACCGGAGGCTCTTTCAGCTCCAGTTCAGCCTCTGTGCAGAGTGGGATGGTGCCGGGATATGCTGAATGAGGAGGGTCCCGGGATGCCAAAGCCCTTCAAGGTGTCATCCTCAGGAGGAACCGGGTCCACCTGCGCCCTGCCACCCTCAGAGAGGATGAAGAGACCGATGCGTGTCCCTGTGCACACGGGCACCTGCCCGTCCCGTCCCGCGGGGTGGCAGTGCCCGCAGCCGTCGCACGGAGCGGCGGAGCGATTCGCAGCCGCCTCCTCACTTACCCACCCCCCTCTTACTCACCCGCCGCCTCCTCCCCACCTCCGGGGGGTCGGGGCGGGCTGGAGAGCCCGGGGCCGGGGAGCCCCCGCCCCGCAGCCGACAGCCCTTCGCCGCCTCAAAGGGAGCGGGAGCCCGTGGGCTCCGCCGGCTCCAGGAGGGTCTCGGGCAGGTGCAGCACGTGGAGGAGAGAGGAGCCGCGGGTGGAGCAGGGACACGCATCCTCGACACGCGCCCGTGGGGCTCAGGAACGCGTGAGTACCTCTGTGTGCGAGTATCTGTGCGAGTGTGTGCGGGGGGCTGCGGGACGGCAAAGCGGGAGTGCTCCTTGCGGCCGGAGGCTGCCAAAGGACGGGGTGCCCGCACGGAGGACAGGCTGGAGCGCAGACAGAACTGGGAACGGAGAGGGAGCTGCTCGAGCCGGACGCGGAGCAAGGGGCGATGCTGCGAGCGCAGCAACTTCCTCGCACTGAAGTGTGACAGGAGCCGGCTGGAGCCACCTGCTCCACGGGGGAGTGATTCGAGTGACCCAGGGGTTGCACATCTGGAAGTGGGGACACGCCAAGAAGCCGCAGGGTCCATCTGCATGTCCCTGAGATGAGCCCGGACAACTGGGTTCTGCACAGGCCCCCGCGCCCGGCAGTGCCAGGGCGGCAGCGGGGCTGATCGATGCTTTACTCACCACCGAGGCCATGCAAATGACAAATGCCGGCGTTGCGAAGGCTCCTGGCGGGGCTGGAGACGCCTGCCTGCGCCGCCCTCCCCTGGGACTCTCGGAGTCAATGGGGTTTATTACTTTAACGTTATTTCCTCTCTCTCTGAGGAGCATCTTTTCGGCAGTGCTACGTTGCAGATGAGGAGCCAACCCCTGCCAGGAATAGAGGTCTCAGCACCGGGATTTGCCCAGCCAGCGGTGGGAAAGGAAGCCCCCGGCTCACCCACCAGACTCTCAGCTCACAGAGAACAAGAGGGAGAAGGTGAATAAGGGCAGGCGGCTTCCCCGAGCTGAGCCGAGGGGAGAGCAGCCGCAAGATTTCGTTAGCCTGCCTCTTAAGGCAGTGAAGTCTCCATCCCCTCCCACACTCCCTCCCCAGCCTGACCCTGTCCGGCGCAGGGGTGGTGGGACCTCAGCCTTCAACTGGAACTTCTCAACAAGCCGTAAGTCCTTCTCATGTTGGAAAATCAATTTTCCCTCAGCTGTTTTATGGTTGCCTTGCCAGTCCCTCTGCACAGCTGGTAGAATTGGAGCTGTGAGTGATTTTTGGGGTTGGCTTTTTGGGCTGTGTCCTGCTCTGCTTCCAGAGCCCTGCTGACATTTCCCTGATGATGGGGTGAAGGGGCTAAGGTGGGCTGGGGAGTTGCCAGGGTTGTTTGTAGATGGGAAATTGGGCAAGAAGCACTTGGGAAGCCTGGAGGGAGGTTAGGTGGAGACTTTCCTCTGAGATTTTTGCCAAAGGAAAGGCTGTGGTTGGGGTAGGATGGGCACAAGGGTGCAGAGCAATGGTGATCAGCAGCACCGTGATACCAGTGGGGAGGGGGACAGAGGGAGCAGGGTTAGCAAAGGGGTTGGGAAAGGATCCCGCAAACCTCCCTGTCTCTTGGCAGCCATGAATCCTTATGTCAACTGCTCCAGTCCCGAGTTCCCTCTGTCCCAGCAAGACTTTCCTGTGGAGCCCATCAGTCCTGATCTCAGCAACAGGACTCATGCAGAGACCTTGTTTGACCCCAAGGATGCCAACCTGACGGAGGAGCAGCTGCGGGATAAGTACCTGGGGCCTCGACGGTCCAGCTTCTTTGTCCCAGTGTGTGTCATCTACCTGCTGATCTTCTCGGTGGGGGCTGTGGGCAACACACTCACCTGCATTGTCATCCTCCGGCACCGGTTCATGAGAACACCCACCAACTACTACCTGTTCAGCCTGGCCGTGTCTGACCTGCTGGTGCTGCTGCTGGGGATGCCGCTGGAGCTGTACGACATGTGGAGCAACTACCCCTTCCTGCTGGGTGCCAGCGGCTGCTATTTCAAGACACTGCTCTTTGAGGCCGTTTGCTTTGCCTCCATCCTCAACGTCACAGCCCTGAGCGTGGAGCGCTACATCGCTGTGGTGCACCCGCTCAAAGCCAAGTACGTGGTGACCAGGAACCACGCCAAGAAGGTCATTGTCACCATCTGGGTCTTGTCAGTCATCTGCTCCATTCCCAACACCAGCCTCCATGGGCTGCAGCCTCTCTATGTGCCAGGCCGGGGGCGGGTGCCCGATTCAGAGATCTGCACCCTGGTGAAGCCACGCTTGACCTACAACCTCATCATCCAGATCACCACCATCATCTTCTTTTTCCTGCCCATGGGGACCATCAGTGTCCTCTACCTTCTTATCGGCCTGCAGCTCAAGAAAGAAAAGATGCTGGAAGCCTTGGGAGCCAAGACCAGCAGTAGCCGCAACTGCCACAAGAGCCAGGGGCAGAAGAAAGTCAAGAGGAGGCAGGTCACAAAGATGCTGTGTGAGTCAATGCTGGGGATGGCAGAGCCAGGGAGTATCTCCCAAGGCTGTGTTGTGAGGGTGCTGGGGGGAAACTGAGGCATGGACAGTCCAGAGCACTGAGGCTGGGTCATCCTAGAGGAAGGCTGTGGCTCTGGCTTATGGGGTGTCAGGGCAAAGGCAGATCTGGTTGTTCCAGTACAGCACGAGGATTGCTCATGACAGCTCCTTCCCAGCCATGAGACCTCCCCTCCTCAAGGAAAGTGCTGGGTGAGAAAGGGAAAGGAGTTGGGTTGGACTGGGAGAACCTGCTCCCCTTCCCCCAGCCCAGACCTCACATGCTGGTGGCAATGATGGGATTTCCCAGAGGGGGACCATTTTTGTCCAGCCCCACAGCCTCTGTGACTGTACTGGGGCAATGACCCAAGGCTGAACTGGAGCATCCTCTGTTCCCCTGCTCTGTGCTCTTGATCTCCTCCCCACAGCCTCTGGCCCCCTTCCAGCAGTGGGAGCTGGATGCTCATGGGTAGCTGTCTCTCCCCAGCATGCTGACCTCTGCATGCTCCCAGTCCCGTGATGGCACAGCAATGGCAGGTTGCCCAGCCCAGTCCAACAACAGGGCCAGAGCTGCTTCCCCACCACGTCCCAGACAAGTGGTAACTCTGCTTCCCCTGGCACCAGGGCTGGGAGGGGGACAAAGGGGGACCTGTCCCTGCATGCCACAGAGGTGCATCGTGGCACAGGTACAGCAGAGCAGGGGACCCCAGGACTACCTATACATTACCCCCTTTGCTTTCCATCAGCAGAGCTGTGTTATTAAAAAAAAAAAACAAAAAAAACCAGAGTACAAGGAAAGGTCGCAAATAGCTCTTGCTCCTTGGACTTTGCTGGTGAAGGTGGCAGGTTCCTGGGGGCTGAATGCCAATAGGAGAGTCCCCCAACTGCGCTGCATGGCCCCAGGGCTGTGGTAGGGCTGCTGCCTGCCAATGAGAAATGGAGATAATGTGGCACAGGAAGCCCTAGAGCAGCCCTGGCAGGAGATGGTAGGAGGGAGATCCTGTCCAGACTTCCAAATCCCTCCATGACAAGTCCAAAAGGCACTGGATGGACCTTTCCACTCTCTGTCTTTCTCTCTGTCTTGCATTTTCAGTTGTTCTTTGCTATGGCCAAAGCTGAAATGGGGAGGTGCTTGGCCATGGACTAGAGGTCTCTGGTAAACCCCATCCCCCCAGTAACACTGGCTCCTCATCTCCCCACAGTCGTGCTGGTGGTGGTGTTCGGGATCTGCTGGGCTCCCTTCCACACCGACCGCCTCGTCTGGAGCTTTGTCTCCACCTGGACCAGCAACATGCTCCACATGTTCCAGTATGTCCACATCATCTCAGGTGTCTTCTTCTACCTGAGCTCGGCTGCCAACCCCATCCTCTACAACCTGATGTCCACCCGCTTCCGGGAGATGTTCAAGGAGGTGATGTGCCGCCCCGGCCACCGCCCGCCGTGGTCACGGAAATACTCGCCCAGCGTCACCCGCACCACCACCCGCAGCACCGAGTGCGAGCCCATGCCCGGCACCAGCGGGCTGCCCCTCTCTGACGCCGAGGAGTACGAGCTGGAGGAGATGGAGAGGGGCCAGGCCACCACCCACGCAGTGTCCCTCTGCTGAAGAGTGCGGAGACACAGAAGGACTGGGACCAGCTTTCTTCACCACCAGCATCCACATGACACTCATTCTGTGGTGGGGAGTGGGGCAGGAGTAATGAAGGGGTCCCTGACTCTCTGGGCTCATCCCACTGGGATGCAAAGGCTGGTTATATCGACAGCACTGCTCCAGGGACATGGTGGCAGTGGCCATGCTGTGCCCTGGATGCATTGCACGCACTGTGCTCAGCACTAGGGCTGGCCAAGGCATCCCTTCTGATGTGGGGACAGTTGATTTCTATGCCAGAGATATGCCAGCAATTCCCAAAAACATCCCAGCCCAGTGGGGTGAACCCACAGGGGCTGGTATTGGGGGTGTCAGGCACCCCGGGCTGTTTTGGGGCACAGTGCTGGATGGGTGCCCTGAGAGGTGCTCCTATCTGGGGTGAGACCCATGGAGATGGGAGAGGTTTGCATGGGATGGAGTGGGGAAAAAACAGTCTGTGGGTGCCTTCTCCCTCAAGATGTCCTCAGGGCTCTCTGGCACCAACATGACCCTGATTTTGTGGCACCGGTGGGGCCAGCTGGTGTCCAGCTGCAGGGTGATGGTACAGCTCCTTCCTCCCACTCTGCATTCCCAGCCCTTTGAGGGCAAGGGAAGGAGTATGGCTGCTCTCTCCAAAGCTGGAGTCTGCAGGGGAAAATACAGGGCAAAGGGAGCCCCAGACTGCCTGTAGTGCCAAGGCACAGCTCCATGCCTGTCCTTGTGCCCCATGAATATGCTCCCCTCTCCCCTCTCTGATCAACATCTCATGGGTGCCATCCTCTTCTTCCTCTGCCCACTGTGGCCCCCTGAACCCCTGGGGAATGTGGGGAGCCCTTCTCCATCCCTGCTGTGCACGGATTGAGCCTCACCGAGAATTAAAAAGGGTCATTGGCTTGATTTGTGCTCTCGTTGTGTCCCCCAAGACCCACTGCTGCTCCCAGCATGGGACTGAACCTGGGCCGTGCTCGTGGAGAGGGCCATGTGCCAGGGTGGTGGGCACCAGGGTGGTGGGCACCCGGGTGTTTCACCAGGTCTCCCTGAGGGCTCTGCTGCCTCTGTGGGTCTGCGGGTCCAGGCACATTCAGGGCACAGCAGGGAGGCATAAGTGGGATGCATGCACCCTTCCTGGTCTCCAGGATGCTCAGGCTGAGCTGGGGCTGGGGCTTTTGCAGAGGGACAGCTGCCTCTAGAGTGGTGGCCATCAGTCTGTCCCCAGACACATGGCTCATAAAATGTCGTGAAAATGCCAGGGAGCGCGGCCTGGCTGGTCATGCTCTCCTGGGGTGGAAGGACCCATCAATTTTGTGTCTGAGATCAATGCTGCTGACTCCCCGATGTACACGAGGTCCTCCCACAGGATGAAATATTGAGGATCTGAAACGGCAGCTGAGGGACTGTCCAAGCAGCTTGAGTTCTTGCTTTGCACTACTTCCCCAGCCCCAATTCCCCCTGGCCAGCTGTGGAGGCTTCCTTGGCTCAGCATCCCATGGCCTTGCCTCTGGGCAGCATAGACCCTGAGGGGACCTGAGCAGAAATACAGCAGGAGCAAGCCCCAGGCAGAGCACTGGCAGCTGCTGCTCTGCTTCCAGCCCCTTCTGAGCACATCACATGGGACTGTGGCCAGGCCAGTGAACAAAAATGGGCAGGATTTGGAGCTTGCAAACTCACTCCTGCCCCCATTCACTCAGTCCCTGGCTCAGGGGCAGTGCAGATGGCTCCCCTCCACTTCCCATCCCCACAGCAGGATCTGCCATGGGCAAAGCCCTTCCTCAGCCCTTGTGGGTCCTGTTGGGTGCTGCTGAATGAGGGTGGGCATTGGGCTGCAGTAACTCTGCACTTCAGTGTACTTCAGTCCTGCTGACTGCTTGCATCCTCTCTGGAGGATGTCAGCATGGCCAAGGGCATTGAGATCCCTCTCTGTCTGCTGTTGCTGATGGTCCTGGCAGGAACAGCACTTTGGCTTCATGTGAAGACTCTTGTTGCTGTTACATGAGTGGATGTGACTGATGCCTCCTTGATGGCCATTATTGCCCCATCTCACTTCACCCAGCCACTTCCCCAGCCAGTAATCTCCAGGGAATGGCTTTTTAATAGGCAGTCAATAGTATTTTATTATGCAGCAACAGACAGGTGCCCACGTGAAGCTTTGGGGTCCCTTGTGCTGAAAATCGGGAGAACATGTTCCCCTGCTCATGAGCAGACAGGCTGTGCAAGGATGCAGCTGTGGTTGCTCCAGCTCAAGCTCCTTGTCAGTGCCAGAGGACAGTGTGTGTGTTCCCAGGGTTTTTTTAGGGCATTCTGGGTCTCAGCACAGCTGGAGTAGAGTTCAGAGCAGCCAGAAAAACAAGACACTGGCTTTGCCTTCATCCAGCGTTATGTCCCCAGCTGTCTGGCCATCCCCTGACCTGGGACTCCCCATTCTCCTTGGCTACCCCAAATTCCCCTCTCTGAGATGCAGGAGGGGTGTGTTCTGCTCAGGCCGTGGCATATTGGGCAGTGATGTTGAGGGCTGCCCCACTACCCACTGCCCCCACACACAGCTGGGCCAAGATCACCCTGAAAAACATCCCAACAACTTGGCAAAGCTGCAGCTGCAGCACAGCTGGTGGCACCTCCTGGGTGGAGATGTGTGGGCAAACTTTGCCCCCCTGGCTGTGGTTTGGCTACAGTGTGTGGAGACGTCCGGGGTTACCACGTGCCAGCCAAGCTCTCGAGAGATGCTGGAATCAAAGGCTCCCAGGCAAGTCCTTTAATCCCTTAATTAATAGTAAAATCTGCAGTCAGGGCATGTAACCTAATGAAAAGAACTGATCTCCTCAGGGAGAATGGTTTCATGGAGAGGGTTTTATGCCTCTCCATCACTAGGAAAGGAGTGGTTGATGGCTCCTGCCAGCCTCAGGCTCATTGCAGACCCCAGGAAGGGAATTATGGAGCCTGTTAGCACTGAGGACAATGCTCCCAACTGCCTCAAGCCCTCAGGGTCAGTCTAGTCCCTGCTGCCTTCCCAGTATAAATTAGGGGGATTATTCCTGCCAGGGAGGTGGTATAGAAGCAAAAAGCCCTGCTGGACAGGGGAAGACAGAAGCAAGGGATGGGTAAATTGTTCCCACTGCTCCACCTATGTAACTGGCCAGGGGGAATGACTGGCATTTCAGGATGGTTGCAGGGAAGGGGCATCCCAAAACAATGCCTGGGAGTCAACTGAACAAACATTTCAGGACCCAAGGCAGTCCAGAGGGGACAGAGCAGAGGTACATCGAGGGACCAGGAGCTGCAGGGAGTGTGTGGATGCCTTTGCTCCATGTCTTTGCTTGGAGCTGGAAGAAGCACCTCTCTGTCCCTGCAATATGGAGCACATGGCCAAATTGGGCTCCACACCACCACCTCCTTTCCAAATACTTAGTCCGAAGAGCTGTTCCCCATAATGTGTCTCTGTCTCATCTGTCCTGCCAGACTTAGAGCAGCTTCTGTCCTGCTCCTGCCTAATCACCTGTTCCTGGCTGCAGGGAGCCCTCCTGCCCTGCCATGTCCACTCAGCACCCCCACAGTGAGCACCCGTCCTCCTCCATCACCTCTGACCCCGCTCCCAGGAGACTCCCTCCCTCCCAGCAGCTCATGGAGTTGTTTTCCCCCTGCGCTGCCGCACACCCTGAGCGACACAGTATCTCCAGAGCTTTCAGTGAAAAGATTTATCACCATAGCTTTGGGGATTAAAAAGCAATCCATCTGTGAGGCTGCCCCAGCCTTGTAAGGCTTTTTTTTTGTGCTGTGGTTGTTTGCAACAGGCATGGGGTGGTTTCTTTTTCCTTTACGGAGCCAAACTCAAGTTTTACAGCAATTGCCTTGTATATTTGTAGCCATGATAGATGGCTCCTGAGTGTGCCAGCAGATTTTTTGCCGCCCCTTTTCAAGGGAAAATGGTTTCAAGAAAAGAATTGTTTTTCACTTCCTTCGCACAGCCATGGCATGGGGAAAACTTGTCCAGTGTTAATTTAGCAAAGCCTTTCTGTTCCTGGGACTGAGCAGTCCCTGTCTGGGGCTGGGCAGTGGGGCAGATTTGGGCTGCCCAACCATGGATGTGGCATAGAAGCCTTTCCCACCAAGATCCCAGCCTTTGTGAGGGGAGCAGGGAAGCAGGAAAATGCAGGTGTCAGAAAACCACAGGGATGTGCTGGGTTTGAGCTTAGGCAGCTTTTTGAACCATATTTCATTTATTTCTCTTGAATCCCGGGATAGTGGTGGTGGTGAAAAGCCAACACCCAGGGGGACAAACAGACAGTGAGAGATCATAGAATCATAGAATAGTTCAGGTTGGAAGGGACCTTTGAATGTTATCTAGTCCAACCCCCAACATATATATGTAGAGTTTGATTCTGCTCCTCTGGGGCACCCCTGGGCTCAGCTTTTAGCCCCATCTTCCTGCTGCTTCCTAAAGAGCCAGGACTTACAGAAAATAGCTTTCAGGCAGCCTTGTGCTGTGGGGAGGCTGGGAAGAGGCAGTGTGGGAAGCACAGCCCACCCAAGGGCCTGGATGGAGGAGCTCAGGTGCAGTTCTGGATGCTCAGGCTGACTCAGCTGCAGTCCAGTGTGACTGTCACCTGCACTGGGGATGTCCTTCTCCATGTCACAGCAAACCGAACAGCCCTGGAGAAACCAGGCCATGTGCAGGGAAGGGAGGGCATCCGTGTACCCCACCTCTCCCTCGGGGAGGGAACACACTAGGGCTAGAGGGACAAAAGACATTCCTAAGAAGTGAAGGTCTGGGTGTTATTTCCTTTCTGAAATCCCACTGTTTTCATGGCAGGGTGAGGGGAAGGACAGAGTTACAATGCACAGTGCAGTCTAGCAGAGACAACGCATTAAAGCCACTGGTACCTCGCAAGCATCACCTGGGACAGTGTTAAAACCCCACCTCAGTGGGTTAGAAGAGAAGAGACTGCCTGGTTAGCCCACGTCTTCTCCCGTCGCGACTGTGTTGT